AGAAGAGACGGGGTTTCACCATGTTGACCAGGATGGTCTCGATCTCTTGACCTTGTGATCCACCCGCCTCGGCCTCCCACAGTGCTGGGATTACAGGCTTGAGCCACCGCGCCCGGCTAATTTTTGTATTTTTAGTAGAGATGGTGTTTCACTATGTTGGCCAGGCTGGTCTCGAACTTGTGACCTTGTGATTCACCCGCCTCGGCCTCCCGGAGTGCTGGGATTTCAGGTGTGAGCTACCACGCCCGGCCAGTTTTTTAAACCATTCTCAGCACTTGCATAGCGCAGAGGTGGTGCTGTTCCTGCAGGGTCTCTTAGGCATCAGATACTGTAGGTAAAAGTGGTAACAGTTTTGCTCAGATATCGGAGCAGAACTCCTTTTTCATTATAGAGGATATAGCCATATTCTTATTATATCTTTTGTTATTAAGTATTCTGATGCTTTATTTTAAACATTATCTGATGCGTCTATTTGTTTTATAGTGAAACTGTAAATAGAGATACACGTAGATGCTGAGATACAGAGCATCTTTTCTCCTGTCAAGCCTTACACCCTCGCACACATCTCAATGGTGAGGTACTACTGTCAGTTCTGTGAGAATAGACAGCTTGATTCCGGTTGAAAAGTGTTTAATCATTATGAGATTTTCAGGAAATGTTTTGTGGTGGTATTTTATCCTGCAAGTTGTGAATATTTACAAGCTTTCCTATTAAGTAGCTTGCTCCTTTTACAAGTTGATACATAATATTGCATATGTATCATAGAATATATTGTGTTTTGTTGCATGTATCATAGAGTGTGTAATGATCAAGTAATGATTTTTGGGGTGTCTATTACCTTGAGTATTTTTTTTTTATCTTTTGAGATGGAGTCTTGCTCTGTCTCCCAGACTGGAGTGCAGTGGTGCCATCTCAGCTCACTGCAACCTCCGCCTCCTGGGTTCAAGCGATTCTCCTGCCCTACCCTCCCAAGTAGCTGGGACTATAGGCGTGCACCACCACACACAGCTAATTTTTGTATTTTTGGTAGAGACAGGGTTTCACCATCTTGGCCAGAATGGTCTCGATCTCTCGACCTCATGATCCACCCGCATGAGCCACTGCACACAGCCGAGTATTTATCATTTTTATGTGTTGTGAATATTTCAAGTTTCCTCTTCTAGCTATTTTGAAATATACGATACATTGTTGATAACGATAGTCACCTTACAATGCTGGCAAACATTAGAACTTATCCCTTCAATCTAACTGTAGTTACACTCATTACCCAGCCTCTCTTCATCCTCCCTCCCCACAGCCACACCCACACCCTTCACAGCCTGTAACTACCATTCTACTTTCTACCTCCATGCAATCAACTTTTTAGATCCCACGTGAGTGACAACATGCAAGACTTGTCTTTCTGTGCCTGACATATGTCACTTAACACAATGACCACTAGTTCCGTTCATGTTGCTACATTCCTTTTTATGGCTGAATAATATTCCATTGTTCATATATACCACATTTTGTTATCCACTCATCTGTTGATAGATACTCAGGTTGATTCCATATCTTTGCTGTTGTGAATAGTGCTGCAGTAAACAGAGGAGTAAGGCTATCCCTTTGATGGACTGATTTCTTCTCCCTTCACAAATACCCAGTAATGGGACTGCTGGATTATGTGGTAGTTCAAGTCTTGTCTTTTGAGAAATATTCATACTGTGGCCAGGTGCAGTGGCTAACACTCATAATCCCAGCACTTTGGGAGGCTGAGGCAGGTGGATCACGAGGTCAGGCATTCAAGACCATCCTGGCCAACATGGTAAAACCCCATCTCTACTAAAAATACAAAAAATTATCTGGGCATGGTGATGCGTACCTATAATCCCAGTTACTTGGGAGATTGAGGCAGGAGAATCGCTTGAACCAGGGAGTCCGAGGTTGCAGTGAGCTCAGATCCAGTCTGGGCAACAGAGTGAGACTCTGTCTCCAAAAAAAAAAAAAAAGAAGAACGAAATATTCATACTGTTCATAATGGCTATACTTATTTATTTATTTATATTTTTGAGACAGAGTCTTGCTCTTTCTCTTAGACTGGAGTGCAGTGGTGCAATCTCAGCTCACTGCAACCTCCACCTCCTGGGTTCAAGCAGTTCTCCCTGCCTCAGCCTCCTGAGTAGCTGGGATTACAGGTGCCTGCCATGATGCCCTACTAATTTTTGTATTTTTAGTAGAGACAAGGGGCAGTGAGTTTTGCCATGTTGGCCAGGCTGGACTCGAACTCTTGACTTCAGGTGATCTGTGCACCTTGGCCTCCCAAAGTGTTGGGATTACAGGTGTGAGCCACCACACCTGGCCTATAATGGCTATACTAATTTACATTCCCACCAGTAGTGTGTAAGACTTGCCTATTCTCCACAATCCTCACCAGCATCTGTTAATTTTTTGTCTTTTAAAATTATAGCCAGTTTAACTAGGATAAGATGATATCATGCTAATCTCATTCTCTGATGATTACTGATGTTAAGGTTTTTTTTGTTTTGTTTTGTTTTTTAAATGTATCTGTTGGCCATTTGTATGTCCTCTTTTGAGAAAGGTCTATTCTGTCCTTTGCCCATGTTTTAATGGGATTATTTCTTTATTTACTGTTGAATTGTTTGAGTTCCTTGTATGGTCTGAATATCAGTCCTTTGTCAGATGAACAGTTTACAGATATTTTCTTCTGTTCAACAGGTTTTTTCTTCATTCTGTGCAAAGCTTTTTAATTTAATGTAGTGCCATTTGTCTATCTTTATTTTTGCCACCGGGGTTTTTGAGGTCTTAGCCAAAAAACCTTTGTCTAGACCAGTGTCCTGAAGTGTTTGCCCTGTTTTCTTATACTAATTTTATAGTTTGGGGGTCTAACTTTTAAGTCATTAATGCATCTTGTGTTGATTTTTGTATATGGTGCCATATAAGGATCCAATTTCATTCTTCTCCACATGGATATCCAATTTTCTCAGCGCCATTTATTGAAGAGGATGTCATTTCCCCAGTGTATGTTTTTGGTGCCTTTGTCAAAAATCATTTGGCTGTAAGTACATGTATTTATTTCTGGGTTCACAATTTTGTTTCATTGGTCTGTGTAGCTGTTTTTATACCAATACCATGCTCTTTTGATTACTGTAGGCTTGTCATATATTTTGAAGTCAGGTAGAGTGATGCCTCCAGCTTTGTTCAGG